AGATAATATTAATTGGAAAGAAGCATGGCTCTTACCTAATAACTTCTGTGTCCCCAACAAAGTAAAAGAATTACATTTATTTTTTTGTGCATAATAATAGGCTATATACCCCACTAATGAGATTACATCAATATCTGGTAATCCTCATTTGAAGTGTAAATGCAGTATTGAGTCTAGTGATCATCTTTTCTCAAATGTCCCCTTGTTAAGGAGTTTTGGTCTGACGTGTCAAAGTGCCTTGCTTTAAAATCCAGTTTAGACATTGATTTAACTACGTGCGACCTATTCTCTTATTTGTCTCATTGTAAACACAACACAGAATATATAGGAAATGTGTTTATTTTACTGGGAAAATATTACATTCATAAACGTCAGTTTTCTTCAACATTACCCAAATTACAGAATGTTCTTTGTGACATTAACTACTTAATTATAACACTAAAAACATATTAACACCAAAAAAGTGTCACATTTGTGATTGTGTTCATAGAAAACTCTGTAGTTTGAGCTTTTTCTTAAAGATGTTTTGTTTGGATTTTTGAAATGTGTTAATATTTGTAGACAATTTAACGTATTTGTAGATTTTTAAAAATAATGATGAAATAACTTAATCCTCCTCAAAGCTAATCCTCCTATTCACTATGCGAAATAACACAGTAAGGTTTAAAGCGCATTCCGCTGCTGTGTGTGGAGCCCTCTAGCGGCCTGAGGCTGCAGCACACGAACACACCAACAACCCTTCATCACCTGAATTAAGATTATTAAAAATAATAATCATTTTAAAGCACAGCCAGCACAAAATCAGACTTTAGCAGCTCTTTTTACTTTGAGGTCATTCTGAGGTTAAATACAGATAGCTATGACATAGTTTAATAGCTATGATACTGTTTTTGAAATCAAATCTTTGCATAGCTATGACAGGAAACACTGGCATCTAACAAAGCCTTGGAAAAACAGTTAATCTTAAAAAAATAAAGCATATACATAAACCCAAATAGTAAATAAAACAGTTATCAGATAAACGTACCCTATTCTGCGTCCTAAACTCCTGAAACATTGGGGTCTCATATTTTAGAGCAGTCAATGAAATTTGGGAAAGAAATCAATTAAATCTGTATGCAGGTGTGTGTGTGAAAATATTCAGATGTAACCCCCTTTGTAATTGTTAACATTTTCATATTATTATAATTTTAAAATAATGGTTTTCTATTTTAATATACTTTAAAATGTAATGTATTCCTGTGATCAAAGCTGAATTTAGCATCAGTGTCACATGATTCTTCAGAAATCACAGGTTTCAAAGATTAAAAAACTGATCCCAATCTTTTGAACGCCAGTGTGTCTATATATGTATATATCACATATCTACATTGTGTGGGTAGATGAAGATGCAAGTTTATAACATATTTCAAAGTTATATGAAATTGTCGCAATTTCTAGTAGCCTATAGTTTAATTTGCTTTTTTACTTCATATGACAATATGTTACATATGTGTTACTAGGATGTATGTGTGATGTCTGTGAAATATGATATATGTACATATATTACATTTGTTCATGGGTTGTTTCTGCCACAGAATAAAAAGATAATTGCAACTCTTTATATATTTGAATTGCAGGAAGATAGTCAGAATTGTAAGGAAAGACTCTGAGAAGAGAAGTCTGAATTGTGAGAAACTTGCAGTTGCAAAAAAAAAAAGGTCAGAATTGTGATAGATAAAGTTGCAACTAGCTTTTTTTCTGTGGTGGAATTACGCTTTCAATACATTTGTGCTGATACGAAGAGTGCTTTTGTTGTGCATGCTAATCATTTGACTGATCATTTGCATTTTTAATGCATTTATAAAACAAAGCTAGTTTAAGCAATTTCTCATATCATGCATATATTTTTATTTGACTCTAAATCTTTAAAACTAAAATGGGAAACCATATTTTTGATGGCAAAAATGTCAGTGTAAAAAGATTGCATGCGCTGTGCCAGAAAAGGCATGTGAAATGTAGTGTGACTGTGAAAAGGCTTTGGTTTTGATTTGTTCAAACTCATGAAGCGTTTGATTACGATCTTACATGCATCATGGCAGCTCTGTTCAGTCAGGTTTCAGTGGCAGGGTTATCTACAGCTCCTGTGTGTTTGTGGTGCTCCGCAGGGCCTCTGGACACAGACATGCAGCTGCAGGCGAGGAGCAGCTCTGAGAAAGTCCGTCAGTGTCATGCATGCTCAGGGTCAGCTGCTCACCTGTGACCAGTCCATCAGTAAACTCATGCAGGGCCTGCTGGAGGACAGATACGCCTCTGGAGCACATCTGGACTTCTGTGATTTATAGAGTTCGTGTTTAAAAGAACTGCTCGCTCTCTCTGCTCATAACCAAGTGTTTAATTGAGTGATTGAGATCATTAATGATCTGTAACTTCTGTCTGATGTGTTCTTGTGTTGTCACGATACTGGAAAACCAGAACAAATGTGACCCTGGAGCACAAAACCAGTCATAAGGGTCCATTTTATTTTTTTCATCTGGAAGCTGAATACATAAGCTTTCCATTGATTTATGGTTTGTTGGGATCGGACAATATTTGAAAATCTGGAATCTGAGGGTGCAAAAAAATCTAAATATTGAGAAAATCAACTAGTCTGGAGCGCTCAGATGACTGGGAGTCCAAACTGAGTCCATCGGCTCAAAGAGACGACGCAGAGCAGCATCAGAGACCAGAGATTGACATGAAGATGATTTAAAGAGCGTTTAAAAAGCCTGAGGATCATATTTGCTTTCACAGTTTTTTAATCATGAATGACATGCACCTGGCTTTTCTTCCTAAGACTGTGATCATGATAATCTAGTGGTATGATTTTATAGTATTCACGAAGGCCGTGTTCAAATCCTGATATAGCATCATTTTTTTATATTCAGCTAATCAAAATTGCAACTCAACTCAAATGCCAGCGATCGTCTAGTTATTTCTTGTGAAAAACACTGTAATCAGCTTTTAGATAACACTTAGGTGTTTCATTGGAAAAACCCACTTCAAATACAATTAACTGTTATTTTTGACTGTAATGACTACTGCAATGTCTTCAGACCCAGTTACTGTATAAACTCTTGAATTATTAAAGGAAGCGAGAACATGCAACATTTACAGCTTTGCTGCCGCTATTCCCGGATATTAAGAACAGTGTTGGGCTAGTTGCTCAAAAAATGTAATATATTACTCATTACTAGTTACTCCTAAAGTAATATTATTACTTTACTTATTACTTTCTGGCAACAGTAATTAGTTACATTACTTTTCTTTCACACCCCACATAAGTTGCACATCTTCCCCATAAAAGTCTTCTGAAATGTTACTAACAATATATTTCTGCCTCATCATTTCACCAAAATCCACACTGGATCGCCGTCAGAAGTTATTATAAACACTCAGTGGTGATTAATAGTAACGTTTCTGTTCAGTGTTGTATTAATCTCATTAATTGTCATGTGTAGCTTGAAGCTAATTGTAGCTATAATTTCTCTGCTATGTCCATATGTATTTTATCAAAGGAAATCATATAAATTCATAAGAAAATGTATTGCATTTTAAATTTGGTTATAATTATTTACGACAAGATATAATGTATTACAATGCACATTATGAATAATTATAATGCATTATACCCGTTAATAACCCTTTCTAATGCATTATACATAAAAGGCTTTAAGAAGTGTTACCCACTTTTCTTACAGCCTTGCAGTAAATTTACTCATCATCCTCAGATCTTCACCAGAACATCATAAAACATTTGTCTCTGACGTGTGTTTACAGGTTGTGGTTAGGACAGTCATTTAGCTTATTAAAATAAAAAGACTTGCAAATGTCCTGTTTTTGAGAAGAAACTCCCAAGTGTTGCCAGCTTTGTATACATGCCCATGGCTGGTCTGTGCTCGAAATTTAAAGGGAAAGTTCACCCAATTATGAAAATTCTATTATCATTCTGGTGTCATTTGCCTGCAATTTACTATATGCCCCCAAACCCCCTAGCAAACTAGTTTTTGGACCTCAACTCCAGTTAATATGGGACAGCTACACAGAAATCGCATTTTTTTGTTTCAAACATTCTTCCGTTTAGGGCTCCGTTGGATGCTTTTGACACAATGGGAGAGGAGTCCATGATGAATTACACTCTCTGAAAAGACAGAACTTGCAATAGTGTTCACATCACATCACCTATGAGTGACCTTGTAACTGTGAAAGAGGTAGGAAATTCATGGTACATACTGAAGGTAGATGGGACCCAAGACGCCAAAGGTTATGAAAACGTTTCCATCGTCATTCAGTTTGTCTGTGACTCTTGGATGTGTTGTCATTCACTAATCTTGTCTTAACAGAGAAAACCAGTGTGATGCCAGGAAAGAGGAAGTTTTGCAAAAGATTCTACAGGATAAACTGAACAGAGAAGTGCCATATATACCGTTTCAACCATCAGTTGCATTTGATGGTGTTGAAATAGATTTCAAGTTCACTGCTTTGATGGTTCATAAGATTCTCCTCCTCTTTGACCTCTTTGACCGTGCAAACGAGATCCTTCAGATCAAAGCAAACGAACTGCATACTGGCCTAAACCTTGTGCATAGTGTGTGTGTGTGTGTGTGTGTGTGTGTGTGTGTGCATTCAAAATCTCTTGAGTTTGAAGCATTGTGGGCACAATGCAATGATGGGCATCAAGCAAGTTCGTCCAAATGCAGAAAATACATGAGTAAAGGTCTCAAGTAGTTTGTAGTGAGAAGCTCCGTTGCACAGAGCAATGAAGCAGATGAGACAAAATGTGATGAAATGCACTTAAACAGAGGATTTCTCTCAGAGTTTAATAGCTGCAGTCAAGCTATCATCAATACAGCACTAGTAATATCCGCTTCTATGTATTAGCCATACAAATATCTAGCGGCTATACAAACTTGGTTTACAAAAAGTAGGTGATGAGTCATTGTGGTTGGTGGGCGGCTCCACCTGAGATGATGTCACTCTTCTGTGAGCGTTTCATTGGTGGAGTCTGTAGGGGTGGGCGTGGTTTGACAGGTGTAGCAGCTTTAGCAGAAGATCTTGGCTGCTGGCAGGTGGAGCTGGGGCTGGACCGTCAGCGTCTCCATCCACACACGACTGATCCATACTGCAGCCCTCTGAGTTATGTACAAACCATCGATTACAGTTAGGTGGATACACATTCTCTAGATTTATTTGTAATCTTACCAGGTAAATCACTGAATAATTTCCTATGAATTAGTGAAATCTCTTGTTTTCTTTATTCATATTGTCATTTATGTCCACCACCCAGTTTTTACTAAAGCTTTCCTCTTTTATCAACTCTAATACCTTTTAGTGTCCCATCACAATCATTTTGTGATTTCTTTGCATGATAATAGCCATGATTACAAATCTAAATTTCAGCTCAAAAATTATACTTAAGTGAAAGCAGATACTGAGTGAAAACTTGAGTGAAAGAGAAAAAGTACATCTTTAAATTGTATTTAAGCATTTAAAATGTAAACGTAACATAGCAAAAAAAACTTTTTTTTTAAACAAGAATCATTTTAAATCATCTTCTCGATGCAAAGTCAGTTAAACTGCAAAGCTCAATATGCTTCTTCAAATCTGATTATCATAGAAATTTCCAAGATGAAAGTGCATGCTTGACATACAGAAACAAACATGGGTTCTCACACATCAAGCATGTATGTTTGAACTTTCATTTATCATATTTGATGTACGTAAGATGGAAGAAAACAATCTGCAAACATTTGTTAAAAAAAGTTAAAATAAAATTATAAGAGGTAAAAAGTACAGGGTTTTTTTTCAGTCTTAAGATTTTTCTTTTATGCCAAAAATCATTAGGATATTAAGTAAAGATCATGTTCCATGAAGATATTTTGTAAAGTTCCTACCGTAAATATATCAAAACTTAATTTTTGATTAGTAATATGCATTGCTAAGAACTTAATTTGGACAACTTTAAAGATGATTTTCTCAATATTTAGATTTTTTTGCACCCTCAGATTCCAGATTTTCAAATATTGTCCTAGCCTAACAAACCATACATCAATGGAAAGCTTATCTATTCAGCTTTCAGATGATGTATACATCTCAATTTTAAAAAACTGACCCTTATGACTGGTTTTGTGGTCCATGGTCACATATAGTAATCAAGTCTAAATTGCTCTCGAGTAAAATACAAATCCCCCAAAATAATACTTTAGTACAGTCATCAAGTAAAATTACTTTTTTTTAAGATATGAAATGGGTAAAGCTGACCTGAGTCACAGCAGACCCGGGGAGCAGCGCAGCGTCCCTCATAACCGCAAGCTTTTCCAGGTGCTTCACAAGGAGAAGGAAGAAAGTCTTCCTCCAGACAGCGGAGTGTTTCTGGAGAGCCAACCAAGCAGCCGATACCTTCACCACAGCAGATACTGGGACCAAAACACCGACCACGATCGCCAGGACCACATGACATGCACTGCAGAGAACAAGGAAATTAAAGCTCAGTTGTTCAGTTTAAGGTCAGGAAGTGTATAAACGCACCTGTCGAGATGGCCAATCCTGTACGGCTCGTTTTCCTCCGATGGGGCAGTTAGAGATGTAACAGGCCGAGCAAACGGACAGCAGACACAGCAGACCGACCACTGAGAGCAGACCTCCAGACATATCTGTGCCAGAGACACAAAAATAACACAACAACTCTAAATATTACAGTACTCTTAATAAAGATGCTGTACTTACTTTACCGAGGCTGAAATTGAGAGCTAGAGAAGCGATTCAGCTTTTAAGCAGTGATGTTCATTTGTACACTGTGAGGAGACTCTTTTTATACCTGTTTGCTGCGTGATTTTATCACGTTATTACCTGTTAGCTACAATCAAGGAGTCTTAGCCATCTAAATGATAATGATGTGACCTGATTAGGTCAGTGAACTGGTCACTACGTTGTCCAGTAACAGGGATGTGTGTTATTAACGGCCCGTGATGTGGCATAACATCAGACAGGTGAATTAACACAGGACTATTCATTGTAGAGCTTTCTGAAATTTCACTCTTAAAAAATAAAGTTTCTGAAACTGGGGTTTTCACAGCAGTGCCATAAAAGAACCATTTGGGTTCCCAAACAACCTTCCAGTGAACAGCTCTTCACTGAAGAACCATGTTTTCTTATCGTGGAGAATATTTTAATAATCTTAAGAACCTTTTCCAGTCTAAAGAACCTTTTGGGCAATGGAAAGTTTCCATGGATTTTCTTCACGGAACCATTGATGCCAATAAAGAACTTTTATTTTTAACAATGTTGGTTTTTGACTACATGCATCAGAGACAATGGACAGCATAAAGTTATTTCTCACTTTTTAACCTAAAAACATTAAACATACAGTATGCAAAAACATTGGTCATTGCTGAGTTCCAATTATATTAAGTGTAAAGTTAAAGTATGTTGATCAGTTTAACCCCCAAACTATTAGTCTTGCTGTGTTTTCTAGTTGAATGAAACCACTCCTTTTCAAGACACATATGCTTTGTATCTTTGACTTGTTGATTAATTGGTCAACAGTTATTAGATTCCACCATCAAAGCTCATACTGTCTCATATCGGACACAGGTGTCCCCCAGGGCTCGGTCCTGGGCCCTCTGCTATTCATGCAAAACACCCTTGACTGTGTCACCAGGCATTTAAACAACCATGTCATCAAGGTGACTCATGATTGTTGAGACTTCTGTGCATATAAAGCCTGTGAAAACCATATATGTTCTGCAATGTGTCTATTATATCAGACAAACAAATACTAAATTAGACAATAAATCCACTGCCATGTTCTTGAATACATGACATGTTCTGACGTGTTTAGATGTAACTCGTGGCAGAGTAATGAGCCGCTTGACTCAAGGGAATAATGAATGCTGAAGTGATTAGCCCGTAGAGTCACACGTTAATAACAGAATTGTCACAATGAACACGTCCTCCCTGCTTTTTATTCATTCATCTCTGATTAGCCTTTAATAGGTCACATATCCCTTTGATTTAATCTAATTATAGAATTATTACCCCGGGTGAACATAGGCAGCCACTGATTGAAAGTCACATGCTGCTTTTACCACACTGAACCAGTTGCATAGTTATTGGTTCATTTGAATGAGGAAATATAGCAGCTGAACATATTTCTTTAAAGGGGTCATATGATGCTATTTTAAAGATCATTATTTTGTGTATTTGGTGTAACAGAATATGTTGACATGCTTTAATGTTCAAAAAACACATTATTTTTAAAATACTGTACATTATTGTAGGTCCTCTATGCCCCGCCTCTCTCAAACGCTTCGTTTTCAACAAAGTCCCTCCTTCTGAGCTGGAAACTGTTATGCTGCTTAATATTTTTTTGGAAACTGTGATACTTTTTTTTCAGAATTCTTTGATAAATAAAGTTAAAAAGAACAGTGTTTATTCAAAATCGAAATCTTTTTTTCTAACAATATATGTCTTTACCATCACTTTTTATCAATTTAACACATCCTTGCTGAATAAAAGTATTAATTTCTTTTAAAAAAAAGAAAGAAAAAAATTTCTGATGCCAAACTTTTGAATAGTAGTGTATAATGTAACACAAAATGTTCTCTTTTATTTCTGTTTCTTCTTGTCACAGGGCCGTGTGGAGGTGGAGGCTGGGAGCGAGAATATGAAGTTTGAGACGGATCCGTTCTCTTTCTATGGAGTCATGGCTCTCAGCGCTTTAACACTAGGTGAGACAAACACACACATCACGATCACAAACACTCTACAACATGCATATACACTGCTGTGTGTTCATATATGTGACCCTGGAGCACAAAACCAGTCATAAGGGTCGATTTTTTGAAATTGAGATTTATACGTCATCTGAAAGATGAATAAATAAGCTCTCCATTGATGTATGGTTTGTTAGGATAGGACAATATTTGAAAATCTGGAATCTGAGGGTGCAAAAAAATCTAAATACTGAGAAAATCAACTTTAAAGTTGTCCAAATGAAGTTCTTAGCAATGCATATTACTAATCAAAAATTAAGTTTTGATATATTTACAGTAGGAAATGTACAAAATATCTTCATGGAACATGATCTTTACTTAATATCCTAATGATTTTTGGCATAAAAGAAAAATGTATAATTTTGACCCATACAATGTATTTTTGGCTATTGCTACAAATATACCCCAGCGACTTAAGACTGCTTTTGTGCTGCAGGGTCACATATATCAATCACTAAAGTAAAGATCATATCCTACACTCTCTTTAGGGATGAGCAGGAGCTGGTCTTGTTTGTGAGTCTGTGTGTGCATTATACTAAACACCACGTTATTACAGAGTTCAACAACAGATGGGAAAACACTTTAAAGCACTAATCACTCATAATAATCTCACGTGGGATATTGGGACTTTTCCAGGCCACCCAACTCTTCCTGTTGGGCTTTGAAAAAGCAGTCGATCGCCGCCCTCTAGTTGCCTTTCTCTGTCCATAAATGAAAATTGTGATCACTTTCTCAGCCTCGTGTTGTTCCAAACCCGTATGACATTTCACAGGAGATTGTAGGCGAGATGTGGATGCTGCTCTTTGTCAGAGAATAAAAGTAAATGGAATCTCCAGAAAAAAACATCATAAGTATTTTATACTGCTCTTGCAGTATTGCATGTGTCTTGAAGCAATAAGACAGCTTTGGACCACAGTTCATCTGAAATCTGCTCTGCTGTAGCTCTCGTATCTCGTTCACTCTTTCACTTATTCACACATATATGAACACAGTCAGTTGCTGCTGGTGTTATAGTCTCTTCTGCTCATCAAGGCTGTATTTATTTGATCAAAAATACAGAAAAAAGCATAATATTGTGAAATATTTTTGCAATTTCTAATATTGGTTTCTTATTTTAATATATATTAAACTGTAATGTATTTCTGTGATGCGCAGCTGTATTTTCAGCATCATTACTCCAGTCTTCAGTGTCACATGATCTTCAGAAATCATTCTAATATGCTGATTTGCTGCTTAAGAAACATTTCTGATTATTATCAATGCTGAAAACACTTGTGCTGCACAATATTTTTGTGGAAATGTTTGTTTTTTTCAGGATTTTTGAGTTTCCCAAACTTTTAAACGCTAGAGCTGATGTTCCTGCATTGTCTCGACAGTTTTATAAAATCACAGAAATCTGTTTAATTTTTTCCCCCAGTTCAGTTTTTATTTATTCATTTTTCCAAATTCAAGTTTTTCTGGATTCCGTTTCTGTTTGAATTTTTCTTGACTCTGTTTTAATCATTAAATTAAATGTTATTAATCAAAAAGCATGTCTAATTAACTGAAATCATGAAAGTTACACAGTTTAACAGAATTTATTAAAATATTTTTTTTTTCTCAAATTCATTTTATTTTCACCAAATTCTGTTTTCCATAAATTTTCTGGTTTCCATTTCAATGGTTAATTTTAATAATCAAAGGCATCTCTAATTAATTTGATTAAAATAACTTTATAATTTTTTAGGTTTTTTTCTTTCTTCAAAAACTGTTGTATATTTACATTTTTCTGGTAAAGAGTTGAATTTTTTTACATTCTTCTATGAATCACAAAGGGATATCTTGGCCACTGTAAAAAACAAACAAACAACAAATTAGAATGATAACTGGGGCTGTGAAGCCATAAAAGTGGTCAATATGAATCATATCTTATATTTAATGGGCTCTGTGTTTATTTAGGGCTGAGCTGCAGCTTTAACTCTCTTCTCTGAACCTCTCCACACCCTGTGAACCTCGTAGAGTTCTCTCCATCAGTGCCTTGCAGATGCTACACTTTCACTCGATAGCTTTGTGTTGGCCTTGGTTGGGAGATGATAAAAAGAGCTCAACAAAGAGAGGAATGTGATATTGATACAAACCAAGCTCAAATCTGTGATTTACGTGTACGAGAAACGTGTACAGAATAAATACGCAGGGAGCATGGAAACATGGAAAAACTATGAACTGTTGATCCTTTATATGCCAGCAGGAAAAAATACATCCCAGTCGTTTCAGCAGTTTTGCAAAAGAAAAGCTGTCAGCAGATGAGAACGCTGTGCGTCATTGTATGAGAGTATGTTTTTCTGATTATTAACTGGAAATGAACAACGTTGATGAGGCAGAAGGACATGATTCAGTGTGATATTGTGGACTGACTTCATTTACCACATCTCTGTGTCCCTTATTAACTTTAAACAATTCTACAGACCTCAGCAGTAAGCCTCTGGCTGTAAAATCACTTTCATAATTTAGGGAAATAGAAAAATAGATTTTTTTCTACAAACAGAATTTTTTATTTTTAAATGAACTTACCTGCCACGGCATGTTGGCTGCATTACATTACATTATTTTATTTTATGTTATTTTATTTTATTTTATTTTATTTTATTATTTTATTTTATTTTATTTTAAACTTTACTCATCATATTGCAGAGTTCTATATTTGTTTTATTTTTCCCCAAATTCGGTTTAATTTATTTATTTCCCAAATTCAGTTTTTTTCCCTTTTTTTTAATTTCATTTTTTTAATTTCATGTTTTAATTTTTCAGTTTTAATGGTTAAATTAAATTGTATTTATCAAAAAGCATCTCTAATGAATTGAAATCATGAAAGTTACACAATTTAACAGGAATTTCTTTTTTTAAAGGCCCTATGAAATACATTAACTTTTTTCTCAAATTCAGTTTTATTTGTTTTTATTCAGTTTTATTTATTTTTATTTCAGCTTTACTCATTTCTATTCAAAAGTTTGGGGTCGTAAGATTTCTAATGT